AGTGGGAGGGGCAGGGGCGGAGCTAGGGCAGGACGGGGGCGGGGCTCCTCCCGTCCTCTTTTTTGCTTGCTGAAATATGGTAACCCTACTCTGTTCTGAACAGCCCTGCATTGTGAGCCTAATGCAAAGCTAGAGTTCACTAATGGGCCCAACCCAGGACTAACTTTGGGGCTTTCAAAATATGATCTCGCAGCTTGTGGCTTGAGTCTCTCTGTAGCTCCTTGGCAAGATGGCGGCCACTTTGCTGAGGGAAGCCACGTGGCCTGCCCTCTGGGGATGGGGGTGTAGGGTTTCCGGTACTCACTGCTGGCTGCCAGTATTGCCATGAGGAAGAGTTTCCACATGTCCATGCAGAACCTGAGGAAGAAATAGACTCTGGGGTCACGTCTGGAACCAAGTGAAATGTTTCAGATGAGGAGCTTATTTAAAAAAAAAAAAATTGGGGGTAATGAACTATTGCAAAGTTAGAGAAAAGTATTGGTTGAACAAAAAATTGAGGGAAAGAGGGGGCTAGAATTTTTGGAAATGTAGCTGGATTGACTAATTATTTTTTTTTTACCAAAAAAACCCCACTTGTTTTGGGTCAAACAAAATATTTTTTTTATTTGACCCAAAATGACTTCTTTTGGGCTAGCAAATTGGAAAAAAAAAAAAAGTGTGTGTGGTGGGGGGGTGGGGGAATCAATTATTCACTCAGCTCTAATCATGTCACAGGTACAGCCCAATGTTCAGTGGCAGCTCCAGAACAACCCACTGTCTGCAAACCAAAGAGATTGCATGAGTTCCTGGAATAATTCCAGACCAAGGCCTCAAACACACCCAGTAACAGAGGGAGTGTGAGCGTGCCCCTCGTTACCCAGTGGTGTTGTCCTTTGCTTTATACAGATCTGATGCCTTAGGGATGAATCTCCCATAGCCCCTGCCGCAGCCAGAAAGCTGCCTGACCTAAGGGGATCCTTAGCTGATGCATCAGCTGGCTGTAACTGGGATAATTCAGAGCATCCTGGATGTTCATTAGTTCTCTTCCCCTCTCCCCTGGAATTCACTATGACTGTGATGTTTGGAGTGTTCGCACAGCATATGGTCCGTGTGTGGAACTCGTTGCTACTGGAGATCAGTAAGAAATGTTGAGAATGGATTTTTAAAAGGTCTGGGTAACTTTATGACCATAGTTAACACCTGCAACTGTCAGGTTTCAGAGTGGTAGCTGTGTTAGTCTGTATCCGCAAAAACAATGAGGAGTCCTTGTGGCACCTTGGAGACTAACACATTTATCTGGGCATAAGCTTTCGTGGGCTACTATGAAAGCAAGCCAAGGATAATGATCATGTTTCAGGGTGTACTGTGCTCTCTGGCAGGGCTCAGGATAATATAGCAATGTACAACATAGCACAACTGGCCATAATAAACCTTCAAGGGGGAGAATCACCTTTCGTTGGGAGGGTGAAAGCCTGACGCTAGGCCAGCGCAGTCTGATCCAATCCAAGAATGCCTGTGTTTTTTACCCAGTAACCCCAACGCAACAGCTCAGGGTGGCAATGAAGCTGGATCTCCCAAGCCATCCATTACCTCAGTGATGAAGTGTCACAGTAAACATTCCAACGCCCAGTCCCATCTGCATTCCAGCCACCCCCCTACCACCTCCAGGGCTCTATTTCCCCTCCTTTCCAGTACTCCTCGTCATGACACTCCACACACCTCAGTCCTGCATTACAATCGTGCCTATAATTCTCTATCCATGTCTCCAGCCGTTGTTCCCCCTTCATTCCAGCTACGCTTGTCTCCATTATTCCCCTCGCTGTTCCAAAACCTCTTGTTCCTGTTCCATTCTGAACCCCATCATTCCAATAGCCTCCCGCACTGTTTGTGTGTGTGTGTGTGAGAGAGACACACATGATGGTTTGCTCTAACATAAGTAGAGGCTTGTGAAACTGGACACGCTGCAGAGCCTACGGATGGGCTGTTGCTCCATTGACGACAGTGCAGACAGCATTTCGTTCCGTTTTTTCTCAGGCACTTAGGACCCGTTCAAGTCAATGGAAAGACTCCAATCAGGACTTGATTTCAAGGGTAAAGTTGTTGGGTTTTTTTTTTAAATCTTGATGCTGGCTGTAATTAGCTATTTTTCTTGGCCTGTTCTATTGCACCGTATTATCTTGGCGCATGTATTTCTCGGATCCAGGGCTTTGATTAGCACTTTGCAGTTAGAAGTCAAATACCAATAAATAATAAAAGGTCTTTTGAGCAGGAGTGCCAAAGAATTCATGTATGGCGCAAAGCTGGAGAAATCTGCCTTTCTAAATGGTTTTATATATTTTTTAAAAAAGGAGAGAGAGAGAGAGAGAGAAAATGCCATCTGGGAATGCCACGTGTACAGCAGCAGATCATCTTACCTGCTGGCGCATCCCTCCTGGCTGGAGAAATCCAGTAGAAGAGCCCAAGAGGACACCTGTGGCAGCTACAGAGGCTGGAGTTATGGGGCAGCTGCTGCTAAGAGGTGGGGACCTTCCCTTTGAAGGAGCCAGGAGCTGTGGCTGAGATGCACCTTATGCTTGGCTGGTATATCACTCAGACCATATCTGCATTCTCTGGTTGATTTCTCAAATAAGGTAATTCCCCAATCACATGAAGGGAGGACGATCCCATCTCAGGGCGTCTCGCCAGCCACCCTTTTTCCTGGTTTGTTAAAGGTCACTTTTCAGAGGTATAAAACAACGGCGCATTAAAGCGAAAGAGCAGCTGGTCAGTTTTGCTCATCTTGCCACAGCAGGTCAGGGGATTACATTTTGGTTACGTTCTTCGATTCTGTTGGGATATGGAAGGGTTAAGTAAAGGCCTGGGTAGCCCCTAGCATGGTATTAGGGAGTGAAGGCACAGGCAAGCACTATTTCTCCACTTGATTAATCAGTTGCCATCCTTTTCCCTTCCCCTCTGCTTGTTAAGAATTGATAAGCATTGCAGCTGCATAAGGAATGTGGGGGTCTAAAGGATACTCTTTGTATGAAGCAGTGTTATCTCCCCGCTCCCTTCCTTTCCCAGCTACATAAACGAGCTCGGGGTCATGGCCCCTGCCTCCCTCCCCTGTGAACTGCTGATTTAAGGGAATTGGTGGCTACGATTACTGCAAAGAAATGTATTTTCAAGGTAAACATGTCTGTATAATATGCGTAATGCCGTAAACAGTAAATAGTGGTGGGTACATACTAATTTAAGTAGAAGGAGTGTGCTGCAACTAATCCAGTGCTTGCTCGCCAATTGGGTCGAGGGGAACAAGTATCGCAGTGAAGAAGCCCGTCTACTCAATCCGCCTCTGGGTCAGCTGCTACCTTCTTCAACAGATTCCCCACTCCATAGCTTCCTCCTCCTCCTTGTGGGGCCAGAAAGGCTCATTTTACCATACATGTCACCAGGACGCATGAACGCTTGGTGTTCAGCCGTGGAAGTGAGTCTCTTGAAGACTGAAATGCCAAGTCAAAAAAAAAAAGGCTATTTTGTCTTTGCTTTTTTCTTCTCCTATAGCAACTGTGGAGGGTCAGAGAGTTTCTTCTGTTTTGTTTTGTTTTTCTATTTCATCAGAAATTCCAGGGCCTGACTTAGCTGGAAGACCTTGGGGATCACTGGAGGCCCTGAAATGGGATATTGCATCTAGAGTCAACCTAGGATGAAGTTTCTCCTCCCCACTCAAATCGGGGTTGAGAGGGCTGCAAAGTCAGGTGTCAGCTTCCAGCTGTGATGCCATATTTCAGGTCCTCCCCAGATTGGTATAGTCCTCCAGGGAAAAAGAAGTCCGCACCTGCTATTTCTTATGTAAAAAAACAACCACGCCTGGATACGTTTTTTTTGAGGCTGCCTATAGGTATCTTAAGGCTCCAATTCTGCAAACGCTTACACGTGCTTTACTTTGCTACTCAAGTGAGGTGTCCCTTTGAAATTAATGAAACCGCTCATAAACTTGAGCACTTGCATGATCAGGGCCTAAAGAGAGAGAGTTAGAAAATGTCTCAGCCGCCCCTAACCGGGTCAATCTCTGATTTGGTAGCTATGTGCCGTGGCTATCAAAGGGCTAGATGTAGGGTGACCAGATAGCAAGTATAAAAAATCAGGACGGGGTGGGGGGTAATAGGTGCCTATCAGACACCTGATCCAGCCCCCATTGAAGTCCATGGCAATCTTTCCAGCCATTTCAGTGGGAGTTGTACTGGGGCCTGGCATAAGAGAGGGCTGCATAATCCAACCCTGCTAAACCATCCAGGGGTTGAGCATCCAAAAAGCCTTGTGGTCTTTCCATCATTCTTTTAACAGGATCTTCTATGGCATTAAAGAACTTTACAGTATTTTGTTTTTCAGCCTAATCTCTCTTCACGCCAACAAAACAGAGCTCGGAGCTGTCTTCCCAATGCTGCAGAGAACTAGTTTCAGAGTCATTATTACACAATGCCTTCATAATAATCTTTTCCCCTGCCAACTGGATTTTGTGAGTAAAGCTATTGTCAGGGCCGTCGGGGGGGGGGGGGGGGGAGTGGGGCAATTTGCGCCATGCCCCAGGCCCCACAGGGGCCCCCACAAGAATATAGTATTCTATAGTATTGCGACTTATTTTTATGGAAGGGGCCCCCCAAAATTGCTTTGCCCCAGGCCCCCTGAATCCTCTGGGTAGCTCTGGCTATTGGGCCAAATTAATTCCAGGTGTGATCCAAATGCAATCACACCATAGATAGTGTGATGGGGTATATACCCCATCCTAGCTTGTAAAGGGTTAATGTGGGTCTGAGAAGCCAATTAACCCACCTGACTGCACCTGGAGGATTCACCAGCCCCAACTGGGAGAGGAGCTGAGCGGTTGCTATAAAAGCAGGAAATCTGGATCATGTTGTTAAATTAGAAACTGAAATACAAACAAGTATGAGGCGCACAGGTTTTGTGATAGGGGTCTTTCTAGCTATTGAGACGGTGTATAAAGATATGCTATGGAGGGAAGGCTTGTTCTACAAAGTAGATGCACTAGGGATAAGAGGAAGAATGTGTGGGACCATGTTGGTTGGAGGTGGGAAAGTTATGTCAAATACATATAATGTTAAAAACTATACAGGCAACAGTTATCAGCCTGGCCTTATTTAATACTATGACAAATGATCTCCCCAAACAAATAAGTAGTGAGGTAGGTGTTGCGCTGTTTGCAGATGACTGTGCTCTGTGGGTTAGGAGCAGGAATATTGAAGTGGCAGAAAAGAGAATCAGCAAAGTGTTACAAGTGACCTCTGATTGCAGCCATGCATGGGGCTTCAGGTTCTCCATTGCTAAAGCCAAAGGATTGGTCTTTACAAAAAGGAAAGTTACAAAGGAATATAAACTGCATCTGTATGGAGAACAAATAGACATTGTTACAAGGTTTGAATTCCTAGGGGACATCTGATACTAAATTACTTGAGGAAGATCGTATAGACTAAGTTAAAGATAAATGTACAGGAAGGATAAACCTGCTTAAAAATCTTGCTAGGGCTACCGGGGGGGGGGGGTAAGAAAATAAGGCTCTGTATGCAATCAGCAATGATCAGATCAGGTTTCAGAGGGGTAGCCGTGTTAGTCTATAACAGCAAAAACAAGGAGGAGTCCTTGTGGCACCTTAGAGACTAACACATTTATTTGGGCATAAGCTTTCGTGGGCTAAACCCCACTTCATCAGATGCATGGAGTGGAATATACAGTAGGGAGGTATAAATACACAGCACATGAAAAGATGAGAGTTGCCTTACCAAGTGGGGGGGTGGGGATCAGTGCTAACGAGCCAATTCAGTTAAGGTGGAAGTGGGTTATTCTCAACAGTTGACAAGAAGGGTGGAAATCACTTTTGTAGTGCTAATGAGGCCAGGGTTGTGAGTTCAATCCTTGAGGGGGCCACTTAGAGATCTGGGGCAAAAATCAGTACTTGGTCCTGCTAGTGAAGGCAGGGGGCTGGACTCGATGACCTTTCAAGGTCCCTTCCAGTTCTAGGAGATAGGATATCTCCATTAAAAAAAAAATGCAATCAAGGTGGGCCATTTCAAATAGTTGACAAGAAGGTGTGAATATCAGCAGGGGGAAATTAGTTTTTGTGGCTGCCAACCTTTCAGGTCAGCATCAAAATCAGAACTTAAAAAATTAGATTTAATACAAGCCCAGGCCCCATAAATTGTGAGTGTGTGTTTATTGCAATGCCTATAAATGCATTACAGATAACTTGTATTTCCCTAGAAGTCATATTATGAATGAAACTACTGGGCCAAAGTTAATGGGGATGACAATGATGAAAGTGCCAACCAAATATATTGTTGGGAATTTGATAGGTGAATGATAGCACACAATGTTAGAACTCCCCTTGCCGTTTGAGTTAATGTGCATGCAGAAGTTGAAAGATAAGGAAAAGCTAAATGAAGTCAAAACTTTTAGTCATGGGAACATCAGTTATGGATGGAAAGTTGCATGCCCAAAGGTGGATACAGATTTATTTTATAAACTTCAGGGTGAAAAAAAAAAGATGGTAGATATTAAAACTGAAATGTGCCAGTATATAGATGACAAGTGGAGTTGGGTTTTGTCAAATACAGAGAGATGGATCCAAACGAGAAAAAACGGAGGTGACACATTTTATATACCAACATTGGGAATTAGTTCATCTAAAATAATATCAGATTTTGTAGCGGTTATGACAGCCTAACTAGTTGCAATAATGCAGGCGTTACATTGGGTCTGGGATGTACACCCAATAGCAGTGCTCATTTTAAAAAACAAACAAACCTCAGTCTCAGGCCTTATGGCAATAAAAAGGGGTGTCTTAGTATGCAGAAGTGATTTAATCAATGAAATTATATTTCTTAGAACAGAGTTAGTACAGCTGGGGATATATGTAGCATTAACATGGATCTCAGTGCATACTGGGATATCAGGGAACAAAATGATGGACAAAGCAGCTAAAAATGTTGTAAGAAATGAAGGCATTGACATAGAAATATCCTGAGTAAACAGGAATTCAAAAGCCTAATATAGAAAAATCTAAAAGAGGAATGACAAAAACTTTGGATTGCCAAAAAGGAAGAAGAAGAAGGTGTGTGGGGTTTTTTTGGTTTTGTTTTCTTTTTCTTTTTTAATTGTGCCCTAGACTTGACGATAGCAACGTACTTTTGGGCCTGATCGGGGAAAAGTGAAGTGACTTTGCTTAGAGAACTGATGTTTGCTGCTTAAACAAAAATATTTTTAGAATAAGTAGACACACAGAAGGCCTATGTGAGCTCTGTCAGCAATTGAAGAAGCAGTCAAGTGCCTTCTATGGGTATGTGAGGACTTGGATAAAGAAATGGAAAAGCTTTCTGAAGAATAATTCAAATGTCTTGAGGTAACAGAAGTTATGTTATTTAGTAAAAACATCCAGGAAGTGGGGAATTATTAGAAAGGCGTTCCTAAGTTACCTGAAAGACTCAAGGCAGAGTGAGAGAATATAAACCGCTAGGGATTTAGGAATGATACCTGGTGGCGTTTATAGGTTATTCAGTCAAGTCTGCTTTGCCTGGAAGTCTACGCAGCAATGAAACAGCCCTCCAGTCCAAGCCCTGCAAACCCAAGTCAGCTGGCACAG